GGGGGGAGAGAGGAGAGGCGCTTGAGAGCGGGCGCCGGCCGCGCGCGCCGCCGCGCACGGCCGCCGCGCACGAGCGCCGAGGCTACGCACCGCCTACCCTGCACCTCGCTCCCCTTCGACCTCTCGTCCTCAACAACGCAGCTCATGCAATCTCTGGCATGCAAACAGAAAACGAACCAAGGGGGGGGGACAAAATGCAAGGGGCGTCGGGCGGGGAGGTCTTCTGGGGAGGGAGCGGGGGACGGGCCTTAAAACAGGAAGGTCAAGGTGTCCCAAACAATACTAAGCGGAGAGAAAGGGGGGGCGGCGTGGATTTGGGTGGACGGGCGATATTAGGGTGCTGGGGGAGGGTCTGAAGCAGTCGGTTGAGGATGGCGTTGGATCAACATAGCCAATCGAGGCATGGAGAGAAAATATAACTGGGAGGAAGGGGGGCGGGTGCTGTAATGAAGGGCCAGGAGGAGTGGGGGGGGGGGTTAAACAAATGTGAAACGAAAAGGAAACTCCACAAATGTCATCAGTACTGAAAAAGAAAGAAAGAAAATTTTCTGAACTCTTTCTGGGTTTTGAACTTTGTGCAGAGACTCCATCAGTGCTCTATGCTCTTTCCTTTTTAAAAATTCCACTTTATAATTTCTTTTTGTTAAATTTCCACGTTTTTTTAAGTCCCTCCTGGTTAACGTCCACTTACCAAGAAAGTGGCATTTCCTCCTTTAGTAGGTAAGGTATGAAGAGAAGGGAAAAGTTGGGCAATATAAGTGAATCATTAGATTGACAAAAATGCAAGAGAGAGACTGAGAGAGAGAGAGAAAGAAAGAGAGAGAGAAAGAGAGAGAAAATAGAAATGAAAAAACAAAACCACCCTTGTCTTCTCGGGCCTTACAACCATGAGAAGGAGAGCAACTTGTTCTCTCTCCCAGCAGATTTAGGGAGCTGGGAAGTCATTTGGATTTTACTGGATTTTAAAATTTGAAGTGTTGACCGTATTCATGCCAAAGTCACCCACATCCAGGCATAGAGGTCTCCGGCTGGGAATGGACCTGCTTCCTAAGGCTGGAATCGCTGGATTGGGACCAGGCCTGCCCAGTGAGCCCTGTCACGGTCAAGAAATTGAGATCTCAGAAAAAGGGGTCACCTTCAGGGACTGCCGGGCTCACGTCTGAACTTGCCCACAGCAGTGGCCTGGCTCTACCCCTCCTCCAGAAGGTCGACCCCTCCCCACCCCTCTCCACCCCATACCCTGAAAGCCCCTTCCTCCTTGCTCCGAACCAGCCGGATGCCTCCGGAAGCACTTTTGAACTGTGCATTACGTCAGCACTCCTCTCTCAGCCCCATCAAACTTGGGAAAACCTACAACATTCTTTTCCTACCCCTTTCCCACTTCCCTTTTGAGATCATTTCAATGTCTAGTCAAGCGTCAAGTGGTGCTTTAGAAACATGGAAACTCAGCCAGTCAGAAGGAGCTTCCTGGGCCATCTAGTCTGACCCCCGGCTCCAGCCAGCCCCGCTCATGACATGCCCAGCATGTGCACAAGCTTGAACTATTTCTCCATCTCACTTCATAATGGTCACTTTAGGAGCTGGCAGAAGGTTGACCTCCAGGTATTTTGGACTTCTGTTCCCAGAAGACCTTGTCAATGGGGGCTCGGGTTCCCAGAGCCAGTTGACCTGGTTCCTGCTACCACAGGCTGGGGTCTCCAGGGTCTGAGGCAGAGAAAGGACTTGAGCAGATACGCCAGAGATGGAACCCGGGACCCCTGGCCTTCAAAGCGTGAGTGTGACCACTAGTTTATGGTCTGTTCCCCACCCCCAGGAAAGCACACAAGCTGCAGAAGAGACCTAGAGGAATTCTGCTCATTCTAACTGCCGTTACACTACAGAAAGAGCTTGGAAAGCCTCAAGAACTAGCTCACAATTCAATTCCATCACCACAGTAAAAGCATGGAGATGTTGTTGCAGAAATCACTAGAAGGTCTGTACTACAAGCATATATCAGTTTTATACCATGGGGACCCACATGGCATCTCTCCAGGAATCATGGAAGGGTAATGCATGAGATTGTGGGAATCTTTAGCTTGCCTCTCCTGGAAATATAACTCCCAGGAGCCTGTGGGGAGAGAAAATGACTGGGCCAGTTCAAACCTTTGAACGGACAGCTGGGCCCACATGTGTTTGTGCGGGGGGTGAAAATCCAGTCCATTTGCATGAGCTGGCCCCTGGATTCAGGTCCATTAGCCCTGCACTGGTGCTACTTACTGAGGTATGAATCGGACCAAACCATGGCCCTTTGCCTCCAAGATGGACTGCAATGTGAGCATTTTGTTAAATACTGATGGCATTTGCACAACTCAGCACCCCACCCCATCACATGCACTAGTGTGACTTATGCAAAATGGGCTGATTTGCACGTGCGCTGAAATCTTGACTGAGGCTGCAGAAAGGGTATTAGAGCCACATGGCTTTGGGCTGCCTGCCTGGCCAAATTTGATTGCCAATTTTTTAAAAACATGCACAGATTGTGGCTCATCATAGACACAGAAGCACAGGGTGAAAGACCAACTCAGCCCATTCCCAGGCCTCAGTCCCACAGTGGGCAGGAGATGTTGGGCTGAGATGGGCTGGATTTCCCTATTTGGTCCACCCTGAGGGCTTGGTGTCAGGCGGACTCGGCCCACTGGCAGCTCTGAGATCACACCTGCGGTATGGAGTGTAAGGTTCAAGGAGGCAGTGGAGGAGACCTCAGCTCTGTCTTCTGCCCCATTCTCCCATCGGGCTCCCTTGCCATTGCACTGTATGGGGAAAAACTAAACCCCATATTTTAGGGCACCAAAGATGGGAGATGCATGACCCTCGCAGTCGGGAAGGTGTAACAGCTCCATTCATGGTTCTGGATCTTTCTGGAAAGGCAGTTGCACCCTTTGGCTCGGAAGGTGGGTGTCCCTACCAACAAAGAAACCAGAGGAAGGCACTTGGTGTGGTGGGAAGCCTGGAAGCGGCACCCCAAGGTGGTGTCCATAAGCCAGGCAGCTGTGCAAAATCCTCATCAGCAAATCAGTTTTCGTCTCCACCATCTCCCCTTTGGTCAACTGAATGGGTCTTCCTGGCCCATTCCAAACCAGGCCACTCCAGATTCCCAGGCAGTGCAAATGGAATAACCTTGCTAGGAAACTCAATCCATCAATCTTTATTGTGTGGTCACAGACCGACAAGCTGGAAAACTGAACTTCCGTTCAGCCATTGTGAGGGCTTGGGGGCAGGAAGAGAGGGGTCAGCCTCCGTCCTCCAAAACAGCCCTGGTGCCTTGGCCAGGGGAGCCCTCCTTCCACTACAGCAGTGTTCACACAACCAGCTGCTGCAGGGAGCCCTGGTAGAGTCGGCATCAATATGTGGGCCCTTCTAGAGAAAGGGTGTTTCTGAAAACCTGCTGGGTGAAGAGGTTAACTCCTGATCCCAAATGCACAAGTCAGAGCTGTTGAACAAACCCAGATGAAAGAGGCTGCGACATTTTGGCTCCCAGTGGTCTGTCGCCAGGTTCCTCTCTGGGCTGATTTTGTAGATGCTGGTCCAGTTTTGCTGTCATTGAATGGCACCAGTGCTAGGGAGCTCTGAGCAATGGCTTGTGCAGGGGATTGGCCAAATTCGTGGAGGAGAAGGCTATCAAGGACTCCTGGTCCTCATGGCTAAGTGCTGTTCGTATCGGTGGCCCAGTGGCTAGGGAACACAGGAAGGGGCACCCGTACTCGGACCTTGCTGGAGGGATCCTGGGGGCAGCTGTGTGGCCACTGTAAGACAGAATGCCGGGCCATTTGGGCCTGATCCCGCAGGGCTCTTCCGATGCCTTTGGATGGTGTGCATGTTTTAGCTGGCCTCAAAGCTTCTCTTTGTCTGGCCAGGGATCAACACAACTACTGTTCCCTGCAGAAGGGGCAGATTGCTCATGGTTGCCTCTACCATGACACCTGACATGAAGGGAGGGCATGGGCCAATGGGAACTGGAGTCAGAGAACCGCTAGGCAGCCTGTTCCTCACCCTGCCTTCCGGCTTTTCTGTGCACCTGGCAACTTGTTAAGGCTTTGCTCACTTCATCCATTGGGAAACCTCCCCAGGTCTGCCAGGCAGCCCTTGTGGGATTCCACAAAGGAACCAGAAATGCCCAGGGCCAGGGGGAAGCGGCCTCCCCCATGAATCCCAGGAAGAACGTCGCAGCAGGGGGGAAATAGCAGAGAAGAGGAGCCCCTGCAAGGGGTCTGCTTTTCCCTGCTCTGCCAGAAAAAGGCTTTGGGCTGGGCTGGCTTGCCACCAAAGCAGCTGTTACGCCAATGAGGCCTGCAGGCAGCCAGCAGAAGGACACCGGCACACTGCTGGGCCTCTGCCCCTTTCTGCCCCAATCCACGGTGTGCTCCTCTTGTTCAGAAGGGAAGGGGCATGCTCCTCACGGCACCACGCAAAACACGCAGGGGCAAGCGCCGCGCCACGGAAAACCTTTGCCGGCCATCAAGGCCGTGCTCACGCTCATCTTGCACCTGATTCCCGCTTTGATTTGCAGGTTTTGGCGGCTGCTGGTTTTCCGCAGAGTGCGTGACAAACGCAAGCAGCACCCAGGGATGAGGCAAACAGGAAGATGATACTTGGAGGACCCTGGCGATCCTGCACGTGCCTACTCCCGGGGTACCGGACAGTCAGCTACTGGCCTGGGGGCCTAGGGAAAATGAGATTTCCCAGGATCCCAGTGGCTTCAGAAAGGGTTGTTCAAGGCACCAGGGAGGGAAAGGGGCAGGCATTTAATTCAAACTGGAGATTTGGGGGGGGGGGGGGGGGGGGCTGCT